TACAAAGTTATGTTTGCCTGCCACAGACCCCGCTTCTCTCAGACTCTCACTGCGTTCGACTAAGACTTCGACAAATGTAAACAATAAAGACGACAAGTCTGCTTAACGAGTTTTATCATTTAATCATATATTAAAAAACAATAATTGCTTGTTTTTTAGTCAATACGATGATCGTCGAAGTACAATATTCACTTCGCCCTTTGGGCTCTGGGTATACTGTACTCTTCAAGTAGCTTAATCACCGTATCGACTTCAAAACAATATTAATATCTTTTTATACTAAGGAGCAAGGTGACACAGGTAATAAGTACAAGTTCCTGGTAGATGTCAGAAGTTTGTCCTAATAATAGAAGTCATCAAACAAAGATCCGTATCATTAAAAAACTACAAGTCATTAACAACAATGTCTTAAAAAGTTAAATTGAATATTTGACCATTATTATATTGTATTAATTTAAAAAGTAAACATTAGTTTGTTTTCTTTTATTTTCTGCAAAAACAAATCGAAATGAAGCAGCATGAGTATTTTGAGAAATTCACGCGTTCGCCGTTTTGCATCGACATTTTGGACCTAATTCACCACTTTTAAGATATTTTTTCAGCATACTCGAAATAAGTTTAAAACTATGCTGGACAAAATAATAATTATTTGCCGTTAAAACTTATTTCTAGTCTCCTTTTTAGAAATCAGGACCAGATTAATAGTAAATTGCACAACCTTAGATAAAAAAAGAATCCCTTTTTATGGAAATTATTCATCTAAAACAAGAAAGAAATGCAGATATGAAGATAATTTAAATGAAGTATCCCTATTTTACCAACGGTAAAATAGGGATACTTCAAAATTTTAAAAAAAAATAATAATGTGCTTGTTTTTCAGACTCTAAATGCAAGGATGGCCGTTTATTCAGCAAGACATTTCTGTGCACATATAATATAAAACATTTCTGGTGACCTAGCTAGAACCAGAACAGTGGGGACGCGACAAATCTGTTCAACTGTCGACTTAAGTTACATACAATTATTATTTGGAATATTACCTATTGTTTGGTGACTCTCTAATTACAAACAACGCAGACACAGATTGCCATAATAATTGAATATATAGAAACGCAGTTTAAAATTTCAATATGAATTTTCTCACTTCATGATTTATCCAATATTAAAAACGAAAACATCAGTGGATGTGAATTTAACAAGATGTGTTTGTGAAACACTGATGCTCCCGTATGGCAGCTTATGGCGAAGGTTAAAGTTTCTTCAAATGCAAGTCAAAATCCAGGCCAAAAGATAAAAAATGTTGATACCCAAAGAAAGGTCTTGTCTCGAGGAATACACCTGTGAAATTCGAAAGACCTAGATACAACTGTTCAAAAGTTATGGCGAAGGTTAAAGTTTTTTAAATAAAAGTCAAATGTCAAGGTCAAGGTCAAAGTGATTGGTATCCAAAGGAAGATCTTGTCACAAGGATTACATATGTGAAGAATGAAAGCCCTAGCACCAACCATTCAAAAGTTATGGCCAAGGTTAAAGTTTTTCAAAAGTAGGTCAAACTCCTAGGTCGAGGTCAAAAGGTCAAAGTGGTGGTTGGTATCCAAAGGAAGGTCTTGTCACAAGGATTACATATGTGAAGTATGAAAGCCCTAGCTCCACCCATTCAAAAGTTATGGCCAAGGTTAAAGTTTTTCAAAAGTAGGTCAAACTCCAAGGTCAAGGTCAAAGGGTCAAAGTTGTTGGAATCAAAAGGAAGGCCTTGTCACAAAGAATACACGTGAAGTTTGAAACCCCAAGCACCAACTGTTCAGAAGTTATGGCCAAGGTTAAAGTCTCATAAAATTTTGCAAAAGTGGGTCAAACTCCAAGGTCAAGGTCAAAAGGTCAAATATGATGGTACCCAAAGAAAGATCTTGTCACAAGGAATACACATGTGAAATATGAAAGTCATAGCTCCAACCAATCAAAAGTTATGGGCAAGGTTAAAGTTGACAACAGACAGACAGACAAACAGACAAACAGACAAACGGACAGACAAACTGACAAACGGACAAACAGACAAACAGATAAACAGACAAACAGACAGACAGGACAAAAACAATATACCCCTGGGATCTTTCGATCCGGGGGCATAAAAATATAGACTCGATTCAAATAGCTACCTGGCTTAGTATTGTTGCAGCCATTTAAAAAAAACTATTGGTAGATAAAATTCATAAAAAAATAAGTAAAATAAGCTAATTCTATCTTCATTGAAAAAAAAAAACACAATGCAAAGGAAATAGTTTGGAGATTAATTTTGTATGCATTTCATTATTGTTCGAACCATTTACAGTTTCAATCTTTCACCTGAGGGATCTACGGAACTAAGTGTACTGCTTTTTCTGATAGAAATTGAACCTTTTGAATAATGGTTGCTTTTGATCATGCTCAATAAACTTTTAATCCTTTCCAAGTTTTGACCAATTAAGCATTGGACGTTCAACGTTTCAAAAGAAGGACGGCTGTGCTGACAAACTAATAACCGCGCACAGCCGTTAGTATTTTGTTGTGTTGATCGCCCAAATTTTACAATTCAATGGTTATTTATATTTTAAGATTTTATGGTAGATAAAATATTTTTTTTAATGCATGAATTTGTTTTAGTTTACTATACCTGCTTAAGTGATACACGCCGAACTTGTACAGCTGAATTGAATGAGCATCTGTTACTGTTCAATGTAAGCGTGAATTTTTATTTTCGCTTGTGACGTTACACTTGCCTTGCGTTCAACGTTTGTGACATCAAAATCAAAATAATAACTTAATCTTTTGACATCCTGTCCGTGATATGGTATTATAATTAATTTCAGTGTAATCTTCTTTACGAAATCCATTAGAATAAATAACATCTTATCCTTATAACACACAAAGCCTTGTCATGGCGCGGTAGAATACACAATAGGAATTGTATACGCTTTCAATACACTAGGAAAACCAAAATGCTTTTTTTTTTACTCAGTTTAATTAAAAACAATTACCCTATTAAATTGTCGTAAAAATATAACACTTGTGCGCTTCAAATTAATTTGTCATTTTCCCCCTCGCAATATTCTCTGGTGTTACATGTATTTAACTTTCCACGTCAAATTTATTAGCCACACCAGTTTTGAAAAGCACTAAATATATTTAGCATATGGTAAATTTAACCCATAGGTACAATTTTGAGATAGGAAAGGTTCAGTTGTCCTCCAAAAATTTTATGTCTTTCGACACTTACTCATCTCTCTTAAAATAATTTCGTAATGAAATTCTTCCTGTTTGAATACAGGTATATTCTATTTTATTGTTTACAAACATTGTAGGACTTATATCTATTATACCTATTCTATAGTATTTTGTTAATATACACTGCCTTCTCTTGTACCCTATTCATGAACGAACCCTTGGCTTAATGCTAATTTTTTTCTTTTTTACAGAGTGCTTCTCTCCAGCCATGGCAAAGTCGACTTCAGGATATGATGATATTAATACGATTGTTAAGATAACTCTTTTTGGTCACTTTACAAGAAAACTGTTTTAATTCTGTCTGTCTTTTATATTCTGTCTTTCTACAATGAAAAAGTTGAATAAAACGCAAAATGATCAAACTTGAATGTATATGACATTAATATGATTTTTATATAAATATGTGCCAAAGAGTATCAGATCAAATTTCAGTGTCCACCAATCTCTTTCTCAAAAAAAAAAAAAAAAAAATAAAAATAAATAAATAAATAAATAAAATAAAAATTAAAATTAAAAAAAAAAATTCGACTAGGCAAACTTTAAAGTTATGTTTGCTTGCCCTCTCCCGACCCAAGATGAAAAATTTGGGTCGCTAGGTAGGTGGGGAATTTTTTTTCTTAGAATCTTTTTAGCCAGTCGGTCCGGAGATGGCAATCAAACATTTTTTTACAAGATGGTCCTAACAAAAAAGGTAAAAAACCCGAAATCCTATTTTGCAAGGAAAAGGGTGGCATGCCGCTTTCCTTCAAGTTTATGATTCTTGTTACGAATTAGGAGGGTCCAAAGTTATTTTTAGTTTCTTTACTTTAACGTATTAAAATAAATAACTGAATTTCTCAAGACGGTCTGGTTTCCCCTACATCCCTTTAAAATTGCACAAAGGTTTTTCACAACCTAGTTTCTAGATACCTGATTTTCTGGAACTGATTAAGAAAATACCAATAAATCAATACTGATACATTTCTACTTCATTACTGGGCATATCTAACCCATAATGGAAAGCTAAAAATAAAACTGATAATGAATAAATAAATAAAATAAAATTTAAAAAATGAAAAAAAAATTGTAGCATTCTTTCGTAAGGTCTTTGAGGATTATCTTCCTGTAATTTATTTTGAAAAAACAAAATAGTTGATTTCATTCTCGAAAATCACAGGTATAACAGTGATATGTAATATTTTACATTATAGTTTAGTTATAATAGAGATCATAAAAAATTAAAACTAATAAGACAAAATTAACAATCCAAAATTTATTTAATTAACGATCTTCCCATATCATTCAGAAGATTTAGTTCATGAATCCACAGCGTAGGCTATGCAAGTTTCTATAAAGGAAATTTTGAGATAAATTTCAGCATTTTTGTTTAAATTTTAAACCTCTCTATTTGTGGTTGAAATCCTTACTTTACCTCAAAATATAATACTTCCATAAAGTCCGTGTATCAGTGTTTTATTCTGTGTGAATCAAAAAACAGAATTTCTATGATAATGTTATTTCAATCTTTAATAATTCTTTAAAACATCGAAAACAATAACACCCTTGTCACAGGTTACCTGTCCAGGATATGTGGATAGATCAAGGGCACTCTTGACGTCAGTAGCATTAGATCTCAGTGTTTGATTTCAAGTATATATTAAATTTGAGAATCAAGGATTAATCAACAACTAAGCATCTTGCAAAACAGCTAACATCTGCCACCGGAGGAGAAGATATAAAATAGATATGAGTATCCTGTTCTAATTGTATTTTTCAAGCATCTACAGAGGTTACACCGCTGTTTGAGACTGTTGAAAAATTAACTGGTAGGTATGTTTATATTTGTACTCTGAGAAAGTTGTTAGGTAAGCATCTCTTAAAGCTTTTCAATCGAAATTACTGCTTGACAAGCATAGTTGCACCAAGGAAAATTGTAGCTTCTCACAAATAAGTTGATGTAATATGGTTTTACATAAAATCGATTTAAGTCAGTATTTCAAAAATTTCTATGGCAGTGAATGCAAATGGGACTTGTTTTGAATGATGTGTTTTATACCAATTGTTAGGCCTTTGCTTTTTAATTAATTTTAACAATGAATTTATTCATTATTTGAACTACAGATTTTATAAATCTAAAACTTGAAGATGAAATCCCTCTTTCTGATTGTGTTGTGTGTGTGTTTGATTGGTATGTACTTTATATTTTCACATCATATATCACATTTCAAAATTGAAAGAACTTATGTTTCCTACAGACTGGGATAGAGAAAAATATTTTACAATCGAAAAAAAAATCATTTGGAAAATAACATGACAAATATAATGTTATATACACAATATACGTCTAATTCTTGAAAGTGAATATTTTCCAGCCTCTGCACAAGTTGTCATGGCAGGACATGGTTGTTATTGTGTGTATCACAATGACCAAACGTGCAGTAATTATTGCCAGAGCGAACTCAGTTGTAGAGGTGGATACTGCGGCTCGGGTTGGTGTGTTTGCAAGTGTGTTGGTTGCAAAAAGTAACTGGAAAGGTAAATCACATACTAGTAATCTAAAAAGAATGGATATTGTTTTTATGATGCCTTGTCATGTAATTGAAAAAAAAAATGAAATGAAAATAAGCTTATATTACTTGGTATGTAATTCAGATATGTCAATTGAATTTAAGAGATTTTCAAATTACATGTACATTATTTCTGATAATCTCGCTTCTAATAAAAGTTTTTTGAATTATATGTTTATATTTACGATACTATCATGTGTTTTTTTTTTTGTTGTTTTTTTTTTTTAAAAAAGAAAAAAGATTTTATCTTTTATTTCAGAAAAAAAAAACAGGAACAGACTACGTGACATTTGTCGCAATGACTTACTATTAAACCATTAAAGCATCAGTTATTAGTTATTATATTGACTGTAATGAATACTAACGACTCCAAATACAATTAAATAAACTATTGAATAAAAGAGGGAATTGCGATATTTTGAGGAAAAGGAATACCTTTCCTTTGTTATTTAATTTTTGTTGATAATAAACTTATTTCGATATAAACATTATGTGAAAACAGCTGTAGGATCGGCATTCAAAAACTCAGAGTACTGAAAGTACTGATGGAAGGTGAATGATGTTTAAGTTCAGTTATATGTCAATTCAAAGCAGTGATAGCACTGATAATTGGGATCAATAACTTTTACAAAATGTATCATGATTTTGGAAATTATCATTTGTTGCAGAATTTCACAGTGTTATCATTTCAAAAATTTAGACTAAATATGAAATATAAAAAAACGCTGTGGACATAATATTTAGATTTTTGTTGTGAGACTCTTTTGTATGGTCCAAATTAAACAGAAAGCGAATCAACCTGACACCTCCATAAGTAAACAGAAGTTGATCCACACACGCAGTACAGTTAGGGCTCGCAATCAAAATATCAGCGATATTTTGTGATAAAATATACATTCTTAATCAGGATGGCGATTCATATTAGTACTTTGCTAATATCGGACAAATATAATAATATCGTTATTAACTACATAGTGAGGCAGATTAGATTTTCTATTAAGACTTGTCAGTTGATGTGGCAGTCACGTAGTTTTGCAAATATACTCGTACTATATTGAAGTCAACTATAAATTTAAATAGTGGAAGGGCATAAACAAGTTAAAAACTCTAAGTTCAGCTTATAAATGTTTTCAACAGCTGTTTTAATTTGTGAAAAGTGTTGCCAACCTCTATAGATTCTAGTATTTCATTGTTAAACTCATATTTTCAAGACTGCAATTTCTTTTTTTTTCGCTGATCAACTGCATTAAATATAAAACTTATTAATTCATTTTCTAGATTTCACCAGGATCGCAGCACTTTTCAAATAAACACAATATTTCTAGAGTGTATATGTAAAAGCTTACTGTGATCAATTTAGGGTATGCCCTTGCACTAGATAAATAAATTAGAACCCTTACATTACCCTCCAATGTACCTGCTTACAAAAATACGGCAGAATCAGTTGACAGGTAATATATAGGAAACATATAAAAAAAAGTCATAGAACAGACATTGCATTCAAGTTAAAGTTTATCCAAAATATATTTCATTTAATTATTATAATAAAATACGTTTATCTTTGTGAAAATATTACATGATCGATCGGCCTATCACTTCGTACAAAATGCGTCAAGTTTTACAGAATGACGTCGCATTGACAAAGGCATCGCGATCAGTGACTTGTTTACACCCTGCTATGTGGGATTTAACGACAAAGCAACATGTTATAGTAAGTTCTGGTGTTGTTTAATACTCATCTATAGTTCAAATTGGAATTCGTTTAACTTTGTAGCATTATTAAGAACTGTTAGTTTTGTATGATGAAATTATGGACATAACGAACAGTATTCAAGCTCAAAAGTCCATTAAACAATACAAAATAGGAGCAGAGCAAACACGGACCACCAAAACTTCAGAGGTGGGATCAGGTGCCATGGAGGAGTGAGCATCCCCTGCCGATCTGTCACACCCGCCGTGTGCTCCTTGTCATGATCGAGAAATAAAGGAAAAACCTGTCGGTAATTCAGTGTTCAAATAATGGCCTAACAATTAGTATGAAAAACGTCAGTCAGCATTTGACTTAATGATGCATTGTATTATCTGACAAGGTCATTGTATCGACCATAGAACTTGCGAAGTGATGACTTTAAACGAGACTGTTGATATTCTTGTTTCATCAAGTTGTTTGTCAATAACTTACCCCGTTTTAGGAATTGTACATACGTAGAGCATGCTCTTGCGTATCGAATCAGCTGAGAGATATAAACCCCGTATGCAGGTGATGAAGATATACTGCTGCATAAGTAAGGGAAGTTGACGATTGAAAAGTTAAAGTCGTCACGTTTATCATAAAGCTTGGTTGTTAGATTACCATTAACGTCTTTTTCAAGTAAAATATCCAAATATGAAACAGATGTGTCAGACTCTGTGGTATCTTTTATCTCAAGCTCACCAGGATATATCGTATCGACATAAGAATGGAAATAGCCATTGTTAATTGACAGTACATCGCAGAAATATCTCAATGTCGAGTTGAAGGCCACAGCAAGTGTTTTCTTCTTTTCACGTACAAGATTTTGGACAAATTCTGCTTCATATGAATACAAGAAAAGGTCTGCTAATAACGGGTCGCAATTGGTACCCATGGGAATTCCAATAGATTGTTGGAAGACCTGGTCTACAAAAAACACATAGATATTGTTAATCAGAAACTCAAGCATCTTTTTAATGTCAACTTCAAAGTACTTGTGTGTACAATCAGAATGTTTTTTAACAAAATAATTTTGCAAATGACCAAAGACAAGGTAAGTATATTTACGAGTTCCATTTTTATTGAAAAAGCAGCTGTCAATGATATCAAAAAGCCTGGACTTTAATTTATCGTGGGGAATAGTTGTGTATAAAGTAGAAACCCTACATGTAAGACTAAAATAAATTCTGCTTCAAATGATTACAGATTTATGACTGCTAATAAAGGGCAGTAACTAGTACCCATCGGGATTCATTTGTTACATAGTAAAGTGATTGTCAAAAAAAAAAAAATCAATAAATTAAAATAACAACCCAGAAAGTGTTATAGTCAGTAAGTTTTTTTTTATCATCTTTTACAGTGTATTTCAAAACTGTAAAATAGGATTTAAATAGATTGAGCAAACCTTGGATAGATGGACAAGTATTCTGACAACAAACTTTATAAATGTAATGCTTCATTAGTATCAACATAGTATTAAAATATTCTGAGATTTCATTATCATCTTTTTCACCAAAAATAAATGATTTAGCATTTAAATTCAATTCAATGTCTTTTGTTTGACAATGACTAATAATTTTTTTTTTTAAAAATTGCTGAACAAACATACAGTCTAGGATTAAATTAAAAGATTTTCTTCTTCTTCACAAAAAGTACAAAACTTAGTATCAGCTTTGCCCATTTAATACATGAGACTATTGGTAGTTAGAATATGATGATTAACTTTGTATTGAAACCATTGTAATTTACAATCATGTGTCACGAGGAATGGAAGATTATAAATATTTTCCCATTGCACATCAGTTATTTCAAAATATCTAGCCCACTTATTTTTACCCAAAGGTTTAATAACTGGTTTATTCAGAATATTATACATAGGTTTTGATCATTTCCTCGTAAGAACAAATACGTTGATATTATAAGGAATCATTGATCTTTGGAATTATTCATTTCTGCAAAAATTGTATCTCCTTAAATCTGCTAATATTGTCTGTCTTATACCATTGTAAGTTACATATTTTTTTTTAATATTAAATTTATTTTGGAGATTATCTAGTGACAGAAAATTGTTATATTCATCTAGGAGATCTACCACATGTATAATACCATTTTCATAACAAGATTTATAAAAAACAGATTGTTTTCCAATTTTATTTTTAAAATTTTTGTTGAACTATTTAGGTTGGTTAACATATCGATACCAATCTGTGATTTCTGAATTATCTTGGATTTCCTGAAAAGCATTAAAGGTATCTTTCTAAAATTTATTGTATAAACACTTATTAAGGTTTGATAACAATACTGATCCTGTATTTATTAACTTATCAGTATCAATTATATTTTCAAGCAATATTTTCCATTTGGAGTTAATTAATTAATAATTCTCCTTATTCATATTGACTTCAAGGCTTTTAAGTAACAGCCTATATCAATAATTTTTAAACCATCATATGTATAATGCTGAGTAACGACTTTAATCCTTTTTCGATCCAATGGCATCTATATCCAAATGTTCTACTAAAAACTGTAAAACATGTGATGTTTTGATTACAAACTGTACTTTTACTAGCAATTTGACGGGCATAGATTTTATACCAAGACTTTGGAAAATCTGAACTGCAAATCTGCAAATGTCTACGGAATAGAATGTAACCTTTGTGGGCTTCTTTATGTTGATGAAACAAAGGGTTCACTTCGTAAAAGAATATCGGGTCACAGATTTCAAATAAACAACGGGGGCCAGCAGCTTCTCTACAAGCACTTAATTTACCTGATTATTCTATTTTATCAATGAAAGTTAGAATTCTAGAAAAGATTTACCATCATACTAATAGTCCATCATTGAGTACACCTTTCCGTAGACAACGAGGAGAATACTGGATTAGGAAACTAGGCACAGCCTTTCCATATGGTAGCAATGACAATGTCGATGATATTGGGAATCTGTCAAGTCAGTGTAGCAATGTGAATGTGATGGGACTTTTTAACAATACTCAGAGACGTAAGCGTAGTCATGGACATCGGTCATACAATAAACCTATTATACACGATGTTTCTTTTGATTCACTAAAGTGCTACCTTATGTAAATAAACAATTTGGTCTCAATCACATTCGCACCAAAGTTTACTCTGTCCCTTTGAAAGTTCTATATGGTTTATTTTAAAAGGTCAAGGAAAGTCCATATTTGGATTCTTCGACACCAGAATACAGGCTTGGATCTGTGATTATGGATATTGCAAATTATAGGCTTTTTAAACCGCCACATTTTACGGAAGATAACACTGCTCAAAAAACCCGTTTGTTCCTTAAACTTCAATATGCAAACAAAGGAATCGACGCAGTTAATATTAGTAATATTCTTAATCACAAAAGGGCCCAGTCTTGTATTCCACCATATTATAAGTTGAAATCCACACCTTGTATTTCTTATACATAAACATCGACTATTGCTTCCAAACTTTTTAACTAGATGCTGTCATAAGACAAGTAATACCCGCACTAAGGTGTTTGCCACTAGATGCGCTCTCCTTCAAATTCTGGTAACCAGGGACGAAGCACAAATTTAAATCAAGCATATTTAATGCTTAGGTGAACT